CGTTTAAGCCTTAATCGACAATTCATATTAAAACCTTGTCAGGGAAACATTTGAATGAATATTTTAAGGGTTTGGGTTAAAATTAGTTTAAAAAATGCCAATTCAATTTCGGGGAAACCACCATCGCTTACATTTCTGCGAGCAGCATCCCCGAAAGCGAAAAATCAACCCAATTTAAAATAACACGTTGGAAGATCCTTTCTACAGGTTTCTGGACAATGCTAAATTTTAGTCTAACAGCCAAATTGACAGTCTGGACATAATAGGATGTGTTTAACTGATCCATTCCCTATTTGACCTTCCTTGGCTGTTGTGCCGCACATATTTCATATTGAAAAAACAGCATACGTTAAATAATGCTAATACGTTCAAAGAAATATAACAGAAGGGGTGTTGTCATATGTGGGAAGATTCATGCAAACCAGATGAATAAATGGATGATATATTTCTCTAAGTTTTACGTTAGTTTACTTACCCTTATCTGACCATCACCGATCCATGTGTCGAAAAGCAGAGAAATTCTATAACGTATCTGCAATTTTTGAAGGACATCATCTTTAAAAGTAAAAACAGAAAACTTAAGTTCTGGTAATCAGTGAAATTATATAAACAGTTGTCATTTAATAAGGTAATGGACTCTGTAATCCTATCTACCTGCCATATAGGGAAAGGTATTTAACTCCAGTTATGATATTAAGACAATTAGGAAACGTAACAGTTAATTATTTGATAGGAAGGAATCGAGAGACTTTGCAATATAGCTCAATAGCTCCTTCTTTGAGTGTAAGAGAAACAAAGAGACAAGTCTTTCGTTAACCACGATCAATTTTTAAAGGAATTTAGGATAAAATTTCAAAGACTTTCTGGGCCAGCGTTCATACTTTGTATTTTAATGTAGATGACAATGGAATCGAAAGCTGACTAATACCTGATCGGGACTAGAAAAAACTGAACGACCATCCTCATAATAAATACACCTAATTTTCGTTAAGCGAACCTTGCACTTCATTATGTCTTTTGTTCTGCTTAACTACCTGTTCTGTGATAAGAGTTCAAAACGTAAACTTTCGCGGGACTAGATTCTAGCAGTTTATCCATGTCTGTCTCACAGTTACAAGCTTGAGCAGGCAAAACGCAGAACGCATCATCAGGCAACTAGTTGTTATTTCACTTACTTAGAAAGTAATCTTTATCTTTGAGTACAGCCGTTTAAATAAAGACTAATAGGCACAGACACTATTTGAAATGAACAGTTGAACAGATTGCCATCCGCCCCTAAGTGATCACCGCGTACAGAACATTCAAGTGCCCAAAGGCAGACAGCATTGCATTTTGTACGCGATACAAAAAACTGACAGCCTAGTTAGAAAC